AAAAAAACAAAGTCCCTCAGATAAATATAAACAGCGCAAACCTGGTGGGATGTACGTCACGTGATGGCTAAATTTTTGCCGGTGCGGCTAGTGTAGAAAGTTACTGCGGCTGCGCCTTATCATTTGTATTTATGTCTCTTATTTCTTTCATAGTACAGTACACTCAGCAGGCAACCATACGTACATAGCTAAAGATCACCATACACTACACACAAGGGTTTCTATACACTACATGTTTCCTAATTGCCCCCTGAAAACTGTTCAAAACTATACATTATCATTATATGCGCGGAGATAGAATAATTATTAACAGCAATAGATACTATAAAGCGGCAAAGGTATATCAATTTAAAATTATGTATCAAATTCAATGGTTATTATGAAAGAGGAAATTATAAGAAATTGTAAAGATGAATGATTGTCCTCTTTGAAAATGGTCATAAAAAAATAGATTTTACATTTTAATGTAACTTTCTCGCACGATAGTTGAAATAAATAAACGTATGATTTATTTTAAGGTTTTTTATTACTATATACTATCTGCTAGCAAATTTATTAGAATAATGATTTTCTATTCTCGTAATTTATAACATTAATACAATAAATACATTTTAAACTTATTTCTGATAAGAACATTGTATTTGTTTTAGCCCGGAAAAAAATAGTACTTTGATGCAACCAACAAAAAAATTAATGATTCAAAATCGAATAATTATTTTAAGATATCAAAATTAATTTGATAAATAAATACATAACAGATAAGTAATTAAATATAATAATGAACACAGTATATAGTATACAAATTTATTAGAAATTGTTAATGTAAAAGGACGGAATTTAAATATAAAATAAATTTATTCACCAATTTTAATTGGGAAATATTGATTCGTAAAGATTCTTTTTAAGTGATATTTGACGTAATATGTAGCATTTATTCGTTCTTACATGAAGATGCACATCGGCCAGGACATTCTTCTTTAGGCACATGTTCCTCGCATGAACAGAGGCAAGACTTGCATGGATCTCGAATGTACAAACAAGCATTCTGAGGATAGACTTCCGCAATTAAAAATGTTAAGAAAAAAAAGTAAATGAAAATTTTGAGTGGAGTAATGGAGACCATTTTTATGATGAATATGGACTTGAAAAGAAATGATATATTTTTTACTAGGTCAAAATTCGATGATATTTAAAAGAAAATGAATTATTATAAATTTACGAAATGATATATTTTTTACTAGGTCAAAATTCGATGATATTTATAGGAAAATGAATTTACTGACATACTAATTTTTTCCTGCATATGTATTATTTATTTCATGGGAAGTTGGAAATAATAGGGTTTTTCGGGAACCCGCGTTTCCCTTCCCAGGGCAATCCCCAGGAGCGTGTCACCACTCATTAAATTTAACATTAAATTTTAAACTAAAATTAGAAATTTCCCGGCCATCTATATGAGACCACTAGCAATTTCAAAAATTAGTATGAAGACAATCATGAGCGACAGTAGATTGATCATTTAATATATTTAATCTACATTCGGCATTCGCCAATGATATTATGATTTTTATCTTAATATATTTAATCTACATTCGCCGCATATATAATATTTATATTTTGGTACGGCAAAAATAACGGTCCATAAGATCGACAATTTTTATTTTAATTTTCATTTAATAAATTACCGTATTGAACTAGTAAAATTTGGTTTAACCCCGTTTTTGTTCCGGCAATTTTATTTCCTTTTTTTGAATATATATTACGATTTATGTAACACTACCTATTTGACCCCTGAAATACATGTAGATCGTAGATCACATAACACTTGCGAGTTATGCAACGCGAAAGACTTAAACGGAGCCATTCCAAACTAAATATTAGTTTAACGTTCTTTCTATCTCAAAAATTTGAGGAGGGGAGGGAATAATTTAAATAAACATGACATTAAAAAATTTCAGAAATATTCGGTACCACTCAATTTTAGTAAAGAGAGGGGGATATGTGAACATACAGTATGTGTTTAAAAATAAAGGGAGGGGAGGACGTTAAACTAAAAATTAATTTGGAGCGGCCTAATCTACATTCGTCAATGATATTGTGATTTTTCCCGCATATCTTACTATATTTAATCCACATTTTCCGCACTTTTACGGCAGGCAGAAACGGTCCATAGGATCGACGAACCTGTAAAAAAAAGTCGATCCGTTTTTTTTTATATTCCGTCTTTTTTCCGTAAAAGGCTCATATTTCCGGAATTAATAACCTTATATCACGGAATTTATCGAATCATTTACATTTTCCGTGAATGCATCTGTGAAAGGCTCATTTTTACGGGGTTTTTGCAGAAATAACGGATAAAATTTTTTATAGGGGGATTTTCATAATTTAATCTACATTTCTCCAATGATAATGTGATTTTTCCCGGTCCATAGGATCACCAATAATTTAATATATTTAATCTACATTCGCCAATGATATTGTGATCGTTTTCTAGGGATGTGCGTGAAATAATTTCAGATTACATGATCAAAGACTTTTTGGCAAATGTACGAATTTATGAAATACATTTGAAAATTAATGAACAATAGAGGGACAATAGAATCACGTAGTGCCCACCCCTTATTAATTTTAGTACTAACTTTATTTACCTACCCTTATTTGTCTGAATAACCGCTTTTTCTTAAAGATGATTGACCCAAAATGTGGCACATTCGATCTTTATTGTTATTTTTTTAGAAAATATTTTTTGCTGTTTCGCGCGAAGAAATATAAGAGAAAGAACTTCAAAATATTTTAATTTCAAATATAACAAGAAACAAAATTCAATATTGTTAATATTTTTACATTTAAAATAAAATGTTTTTTATATATTATATTATAATGTTTTAATAATCAAATACAAAAATACAAAAAAATTTTTACAGAAACTTTAAACTAAAATACTTTTATTTGTAAATAAATACCAAAATTAATAAAATAAATTTAATGTTCAAGTATCCCTGCTGAATAACTTTACTTATTCAATAAAAGCAAGATTTGTTTGACCAAAACGCTTAAATTACGCCATGGTATTTGTATGAAAATTTGATAATATTACAAATAATGAAATAGTGAGTATAATTTTATGAATATACAAACCAACTTGGAGAAATATCTGAGAAGTTTCATACCTGCTGATTAACTTTGCTTATTTAACAAAAGCCATATTATTTTGTTAAAATAACAAGATAATATTGAGAGATTTTTGTACAAAAAACTCGTCTATTATAAACAAAATAAAGATTTAATGTGAAAATATACTCAACTTTACAAATAATACTTTATATTTAAGCCAGTGTTCAAGAATAATTCTTTTAAACTTTTAAAAATTTTTTAAAAAATAACTGAAAAAAAGGAGAAATAAGTATTACGAAAGAGAGAAGGAAAAATGCATGCGGTAATCTGAAAATACTAATCAACAATCAAATTTGATCGGTCCAGGATAGGTTAAGGATGGACCTGACGGGGGAATAACAAAAAATAAATATAAATCGGGACCTAACCCGGGTTACATACAAACGGTTTACATACTGTGTCATATGATAATTGTGAAGACTCTTCACAATTCCAACCGATAAAAGCGGCTAATTATGTAAATAACTTATACTGCGCAACATATTCTGCAGAAGAATATTTTGTAGTTTCATACTGCGGATTATGCCGATCCCTTCACTTGTTAAAATTAATAAATTATTTATAGGTTCTTTCAGTAACTTATGATAGTTGGTTTACCAAATTGATCAAACGCTTACGAACGGCTTGCAATTATAAATTATAATATCCATATGATCATTGATTACTCTCGATCCCATAACTCTCGGAGAATTTTAAATTCGAATCAAATAGAATCACGTGATATTATAATTAGCGCCAGCCAACACTATTGCAATATCGACTAGTTACCCTTATTCCAATCCGGTAAAAACTGCAGACGATTTTTTTTACTTTCACTTTGACAAATTTTCAAGCTCTATCGATTACAAACTTTTGAATGGAGAAAAAGGCTAGTCTAATTTCGAGTTTAAGTAGAAAAAAGATTAGTTTAGAACAATGGAATTTTTTAAGGTTAAACGTTAATTTTTTTTTTTAATCAATTAAAAAAGAAAAAGCTTTATTGAAATGGTTAAACATGAAATGTTGTACAAAAGATATGATATCCGCCTCAATAAGATTAACTAACCAAAATAATGATAAACCTCTAATATTTATCCGCTTTAGATTAATCACCTAATATTTAACTGTTGACCAAACAATCGAACCCTGACCATATTTCAAACTTAAATAGTCGAATACCCTAACACGACTCATATTATTAGATAGTTAGATTTGGGGCATGGTATCGTCCAAGTTCGATTTAGTATGGTTTTACGACATTACTGGGGCATTCAAACAACTAAACCAAAAAAACCGAAATTCTTTTAGCCGTAAATAATGTCCGTTAAATTTTTATTCTGGCATCCAAATAAAGAGAACAAATTCATTTTTAATAAATTTGTCCCAAATATCTAAATTCTAAATTCAAATTTGTAAATTTTCAATGAAAATAAATTAGAAACCATATTAGTAATAATATAAATAATACATTTTTTTTTTGTGTTTATGATGATAATATATTCTTTGGTTTGATAACAAAAAAATAATTCCGAAATAAATAAAAACGAATTAATTTATGGGTTCGTGCTAGATAATCCTATCATATTAAAAAATTTAAATATGTGCTTAACAATAAATTTTATTTTCTTTTGTATAAACCCTTTTTTACTTTTTTAAAAATTTTATACACTTTTTAATTTCCTTTAATGGAATTCGTGCAGAAGTTTTCTATTAATTTACAAAATTGTCAGTGTCAATAATGGTTTTAGCCTAAATTGGAAAGAAATCATACGCCATTAAATAATAAATAAAAATAATTCTTATTTTTTCCCAAATATTTTATTTTTTTATTTTCATTCTGATAATAACTTTTTTATGGTTAAGCAATCTTCCTGGGTCCTGTAGGCGGTTTCTTAATTTACTCATTTAATAAAATATTAGGAAGGTGATATCCTTTTTTATTGTAATTCTGGTCTGGAATATGTGTTACAGCTGCAATCAAAGATTTTATTTCGGTTTTTTATATAAATCGAGTGCTTTCACATTTGCCCACAGGCTCACACCCTTCTCGAATTATCAAATAAAATAGTTTATTGGGTCTTTTTAACGAAAACATGGGCGACTCCATGGGCAAAGTGTATAGGGATGTCGTAAACCATGAATACTCAAGTCAAAGTATAGAATGTGGAAAAGATAATTCCAGCGAGAAGAAGAAAGATTATGAAATTGCAATTAATCAAGATGGAAATTTGTTGTTACATTTGATACGGGTAAAAAAAAATAAATAAATTTTTGTTATTAGAAAATAATTTATATACATAATAATTTTAATAATTTTACGATTTTTTTTGTAAAAATAAATAAATAAATAAATAGCAAACCTTCTGATTAAAATATTGGAAAACACTGATCATCGTCAACCTAAATTCAAGAAAGAGGTAAATTTCAGTAGTCAGAATAAATCCGACAAGCCCGTTGATAGTGATACAATTAATGAAACAATCGCTTGCTTTAAATAGATAATGACTTTGAGATTGTTAAATTTTATAATCCTAAAAAAACCGAAGATTCTTTAGGCGACGACAAGACAACAACAAAACACAAGAAAAGCAGCTCGGGAGATGATGAAAAGAACGACAAGTCTAAATGGTCTTTAGATATATCAAATATTCATAAGAATAAGAAGAATGATAGCGATGATAGCGAATATTTTTTTTTTGTCGCCATATCTCGCATAAACATTGACGAGGACATGAAACAAGAAAAAGATAAAAAAGATGATAAAAAAAAGCGTGATTACGAAAATGGATATCTTAGTAAAATGCAATTTAAACCTTTATTCGATCATAACGATAAATCTGTCGAAACTATAATTTCTGTGAAGCCAGAATTTAAAAAAGGAATCGAAAAAGGAATCGCTATTTATCGCCTTGAATTAAAAAATCAAAATGAAGAAAATGAAAATGAAGGGAATGAAAAAGGATAGAATGAAAAAGAAGAAAAGAAAAGTGGGGAAAAGGAGAAAGGAATGAAGAAAAAATATGATCTTAGTGGCGTAACTTGCTATTATTCTAATAATATTTCAGGAATATGTAGATTGATAGAAGTTTCAAATGAAAACGATCAACCATCAAATGATTCTCAATTAAAAAGATTTGTAATATTGAATTTCCATGGAATATATAATTTTGCTTTAAAATCACTAAATAAGGTATAGTAAATTTTTTTTTATAAAGTATTTAAATAATTCATATGTAAAAAATATTTTAATAGGTTAGACCTAATGATAATTTTGATTCTTTTAAATTGAATGAGAAATTTGAGAAATTTGAATATCCACCAAGTACTAAACGCGAATTAAAGAATTGGTATACTAGTAAAAATACAAATTGCATGGAACGACTTCTCTCGTGTATATACGATAAATATTTTTTGGTCACGCAATACAAAAATGATGTGCAATCACTTGAAGGTAAAATTTTGTTATTATTTCTTAAGCATAATAAACGTAATCGAAAAATAATTAATTCAATTTATTTTTAGTTTATAATCTAGAAAAAATGGAATTAGAAACTACAGCAAAGAGAGTTGAAAATAAGGATGAATTCGTAAATCATTATTATTCCGAAATCATTTCAATTAGTAGATTACAGCTTTGTTTTACTCGGGGAATTAATATTATCAAGTAAGTTGTTACAAGTTATTTAAGCTTCCTACTGATCACTTTAACGACATTTTTGTTAACCAAATATTTATAGATTGTATTATATAGAAAATGGTTTACAAATCGCATCAAAAAAATTTGATAGATAGAACAAATATATTCATTGGAATTTATTGAAAATGATGAAAAATTACTTATAATAGGCAAAAGTCTGGAAGGAGGGCTGAAATTTATAATATGGGATTTATATGATACCGGTAAAGTTGAATCAATAAAGTTAGACAATTTTCCAAGCATAGAAAACCTTGATACCCGTTTAGCCAGAACTTCGGGAAATATTTTGCAGATAGATAATGATGGCAATGTTTCATCAATCCTTAAAAAAGTTGAAAATAAATTAAAAGAGCAGAAAAGCGAAAATGAGGTTGTAGTCAAAAAGGAAGAGTTAGAATATTTAATAGATAAGAAACATATCATATATTATTGTGATAAAAAACATAAAAATTTTAAACCAATAGTTGATGAGAAAGAGCCATGGGTGTTAGATGAATACGATAGACAATCCTATTGTATTTATCAAAATAAAAATGGGGATGAAACAGAAACTTTACAACTTATTGTCGGCAGATCCACCGTTCAAATTTGGCATCAAATCCAAGATGATGGTAAAAAAACAAAGATGACCTTCCTAATAAAGGGGAACCATTTCTTGAATATATTTGGTCAAATCGTATTCCGGTAAAGCAAGAAAGTGATGAGACAAAATTAAAAGTTGAAGATTTTAAATATGGATTTAAATATGGATCAAATAAAGGATTACATGAAGGATTACATGAAAAATTGGATGATTTTCATTTAAAGGTTTATTGGTATGAAAGAAAAGAAGAAAATGAGAATTCAAAAAAGGATGAGCACGAAATAGATGATGAAGATAAAGACGATAGTGTGATGGAAAGGAAAGTAAAAGTAATTAATCGAAAGGATATTATTGAAAAATATCATATAGTAAGACACGCTTGCAAAGCATTAGAACATCTTAATAAGCGTTATAAAAGCAAACGTCTTGCAGATAATTACGTCAGAGTTCACAAAGTAAGTTTACCGATTTTGTTTGCTTTTGGAATGAAGTAATTAACATTTACTTTTAATTAAAAGTACGAGGAGATTATCAGCTACATCAAACATATTGTTTGGAGATTTGCTAAACATGAACCGGAAAATTTTAAATTGTTGGATGTTCGATACAATATTATGAAAAATTTAATTCTTAGTGATTGCGATCAATTGATAAATTTTATATTATTTGGGGATGATGATAATGAAGATAGAAACGGCAAAGTTTGCAAAGTTTGCAAAGAAAAAAAGGAAAATGAAAAAGAAGAAAATGAAAATGAAGGAAAAGAAAAAGAGAAAATACAAAGACAAGTTGCAATCCGACATATACCAAGAAATAAATTATGGTTAGGAAAAAAGTTTTTAACGAAAGGTGACCTTGACTTTGAAGGAAAAGATTGGATAAAAGAAAATGAGAGTCTTGAACCGAAAAATAATATGGAATTAGCAATTTATCATTGCAAAGGTACATCTTTAAAATTAACCGTATCACAGCATTATTTACCACGCTTGAAATAACTTTGTTTATTGTAGATCGTGAACTTAAGGATACGTTAATTATTGCTTATCTTTTGGAATATTATTCTAATCATGCAACGGATAGTGCTGGTTGGATGTGTACCGTTTCTAAGGCAATTCCTTTTTTATTTAAATACAATTATGGTAGGTTTTTTTTTAATTCTAACGTAATCAAAATTTTGAAAGATTAGATTTGCATACAATCTTTATATTTATAATAGACGATTATGCCAGAAAGTTATTTTTTAAAGAATGCTTTGCAAATCAGGATCACTTCTCAGCTCAAGATCCTAAAGAAATTATTCCAACAGAATACCGAGAAAGACGTAATCATAACATCAAATTTAGAGCATTCAGACCTATAGCCAAACTGAAATCTGATAAAGATGAATTATACTCTAGAATTATGATCAAATTTAAGTCTTTTAAAAATTACATAATCAAAATGTATGAAAACTTTGATAATGATCTTGGAAAATCACCATTGGCTTTACGAGTGTTTCCTCTTCCCAGTTTCACTATAAGCGACATTAAAAAAGAAGATAATTATAATTGGAAAATAATAATCAAAAATCTTTTTTGGTTTATATTTATGCCACGACTTTACAAAATCGGTCGAAATGGCAGGAATAAGCTAAGCCCTTTTTCTAGAATGATACTATACGAAAATAACGATGATATTTATGATAATCCAGCAACTGAAGCGGTTATTGATTTTCGTTGTCAAAAAGAAAGAAATTTCTTTTTTTTATTTCTTTCGATTTGTTATTTTTTCCGTTTGTTTTGGATTAGTTAGTTGGGCATATTTGAATCATAGCATTATTATAAATGGAAATTGTTTATTTACATTAATTGTCGTATTCTATTATTTGGCAATTTATCAATTTACTACCGAAATAATACAACTTATTTATTGTGGATTTAAAAAATATATTGGTGAAATATTTAACATTTTTGACGTGATTTCTATTATACTTTCTGTAACAGTAATGTCAATAATGCTTAAAAGTTTTCAATTTTCTGATGGGTTTGAAGTGTTAAAGAAATTGATGGTAGATTAATTGTGGGAATACCATTCTCAATTTTTTTACTTTGGATTGAATTAGTAAGTTTTTTTTTTGCAATCGTTTAATCTTTCTTTTGTATAAGGTTAATTAATCAAATTTTATGATTTTAGATTTTCTATCTCCGCCAAATACCAGGTAAAATACGTGATCTAAATAAAAATTACTATTCTCACACATCACATTATTAATCAATTTATTTATTTATTTTTTTCTTGGTAGGTATTGGTAACTATATTTATTATGTCATAATTATATTTAAAACCATATTTCCGTTCTTCCTGTTTATGTTAATTGTTATACTTGCATTTGCGCATACAATGTATATTGTTTCGTTTTAATTCAGCATAATTAATTTTTCTTATTTTATATAATTACATAGGTTTGTGTCACTTAGAAATCCTACGAATATTAAGACTAAAGATTCCACGTACAGTGGAAATGCTACAAATATTTCAACAAATGAGACGTTTAATATTGAGCTTAAATCCGATTTTGATCCTACTTCTAGAGATAATCCATTTACATCTTTTTCAGAAGCAATAATAGCTACATATTTTTGGATTGGCGGTAATCTTGTTCAAAGAGATCAATTTGATTATTGGGTGTTGATGCATTTACTTTTATTGCTAGTATAGTCCTTGTAATTGTTCCTGATCGCTTTTATGAGGTGAGTTTTTTCCGTCAAATTATAGTCACCATTTATTTTATATTCTCTTTTATTTATATATTCGTTTTTTTAGTGGTGTATACGAAAAAGCAGATACTAAAGGTAGACAAACTTTATTACGATATCAAGCAAATCACATAGCGGATTATGAAGCATTACAACATATTCATTTTTGGAAGCATGAGCACGATCCGAAGTATATTTATTATTTTGGTCAATCCAAAAATTTCGAAGATTGTTATAATAAAAAAAAGAACAAGGTCCTATTTATGGAGAACTTAAAGAAAAATCTACATTCACAAACCGGATTTTAAATGAGGGAGTAAAAAATTATGATGAATATTCAATTTGGAATTGGTAGAATTAAATGAAGCGAATTTTTTTTTTAATATCATATCAAAAACATCTTAAAAGTATAGTTTTATTTACCATTTTAACTTTATTACTAAAATTAATAAACTATTTACTAAAATTTTTTAAAAATTGGAAAATTTTAAAAATATAAAACAAGTTTAATGTGTAATTATGAAATTTTAGTTAAATTTACAGGTGGAAATGAAGTAGTGTACAGAAAGTCGTGATGGATTCTCACCTAGTAAATTCCATGAGACCTGTGATAATCGATCTCATACTATATTGATCATTAAAACAACGAAATCCTTGGAGGATATAATCCGATCATGTGGACATCTGATATTACTTGGGGTGCTATCAAAGATTTATATTTTCTTTTAAAAATAAGAATGATATTGAAAATTATATATTAAGTCGCGTAAAAATTGAAAAATGTCTATATTAAATGGCTATAATTGCAGTCCTTTGTTTGCTGCTGGTCTTATTATAGGAATTATGAATGGAGATGATATTCACAATAATGATATTCACAATAGGAGTTATTGTAGGAAAAATATTATTTATGAAAAACCAATTAGAGAAACTGTAGATGACTTCGATTTAGTAGAATGTGAAAATATTTCAAATTACGAAATGTTAGCCAATTAAAATCAACATTCAGGTAGCATAAATGTTTAAGTTTTTTTTTCGGACCGAATTTAACCAGAATTTCCCAATTATAAAGTAAAGTTGATCATTCATCGTTGCCAATTTTTTTTTCTTGCTTGATGAAACAATATACTTTTACCAAATAGGCGTCTTTTTTAAACAATATACAAAAAAAAAAGAAAATAAGTAAATAAATAAATAATTTTTAATATTTAAATCAGGTATATCTGATGAGACAGAACTTTCTTTAAAGAATATGATCCTTCGGATATCATTAAAATCTTGGTCGCCGCCAGACGCCAGTAAACTTAGTCTTCAGTAATTGATCGCTCATTTACAATCATTTTTAATTAAAAACAAAACAAATCTGGTGGAGCAAAATTTTATAAAATAAGTTTTAAATGATTCTTTCTTGAAATCGATCGACCGTGTGGGAAACTAATGGTAGGTTCGGCACCACTGAAGACAGTTTTATATTCTCTTTTAAGAATAAAGAGAACACACAAAATTATATTTTAAGTCGGTAATGCTTGAATCGTATGCTATATACAATAATCTGATTACGGTCCATACGGTCTTGTAACGCATGGAAACAATTATTACAATAAGTTATTGTAGGAAAAATAGTAGTTATGAAAACCAATTAGGAAATTGAAGATATATTTTCTGTAGAAGAATAGAAAATATTCAAAATTATTTAATATTGATTTTATATTTTAGAGACTAAACGTTCACCAATGTTTTTGTTAGAAATTAGAACTAAACACATAATATCATTGAGTCGTTGGTCATCAATATAACTCTTACCTACATTACTTTTTTATTGTGGTTATAAAAAATTTATTAATATTACGCAAATTTATTGGAGCGGCACAATTAAATATTGTTCGTTGAAATAATTAGCCACGATATAAAAAGTTAGGGTACAATAAGTGATTGGTTACCCATGCCAATCACTAACGTGACCATTCAAAAAAAGTGTCCAATCGGGATTCGGGATAGTACCAATTGATCAGCGCCAAAATGCGCAAGTGGCTTATTACTTTCCCTTGCTTTTTTTTTTAAAAAAAAAAATGTTGGAACTCGACAGAGCCACAGAGGCTTACTTTTCCTAATATTTGAAAAATTAAAATATTATAAATATTTACTAAACAGTGTCCAAAATAAAAAGGCTAACTGTGGATATATGCCTTGAAAATTTTGAGTAATCACCTGCAACCTTACGAGAATTTCATTTGAATTTTTTTAGTAAAAGTTTAGAAACATTTTCTAAATGTTGGAAATATAAATATTAAATTTGTTCATTATTATGGACAGATAATCATGAAAAGTTGGTGTGCAGTAGAAAAAAATTCGCTTCTCAATTCCTCAATACTAATAAAATTGCGCAACTTGCACGATACATTTGGGCATTGCGCAATTGATAAAGAATTTTTTTAATTTGTCATAGTTACAATTAACTTCTTTATTGTAAGTAATGAATTTTTAGCTTACAATCTTTACATATTTTACCTAAATCAAATATAATACGCACATTGCACATAAATGTCGCACTGCGAAAAATTTCTGATTAAGATCATATTAAAGTAAGTTTTATATAAAACAATAATATAGAATTTTATGTTCCTAATAAATTATTAAATATTTATTTTAAATAATAAGAATTCTTAGAATTTATATTAAAAAGTCTGAGCCAGGTTTGGTTGGTAAATATGTATATATTTTAATTCCAGGCTTCAAAATAAAGGCAAATGCAAGATTCTATCTTTGAATAAATGAAAAATGTTACTATTTCATTATCATCAATTAAATTTAAATAATAAAACATTTTTAAAACTATTAAACTTTTGTACTTTGTGGCTATGGATTTGTGTACAATTTTGGCTTTGATATCATTTGTGGCAAAGTTCTGGATATCATATTATAGGTAACTTTGAAGTAATAAACAAAATAATCTATTTCAAGTTTCAACCTGATTTCATAAGTTATTTGATATACTTCATTTAATAACTATAAATAAGTTCAAAATTTACTTGTCTGATTATTAATCCCCTTTTTTTTCCTTTTTTTTCCTTTTTTTTTAATCCTTTTTTTTTCCTTTATTTTTCACTATGTAAATATATTGTGCTTAAATTATTTTTCCTCTTTAATAGAGATATGATAAAAGATTTTTTATAATAGATCAGTGTGGTAATTCAGATTATCTTTATATATGTAAGTCACACATTATACATAAAGGTTTTGTGCATAACTCATGAAGCCATATGTACTTATATGAAAATATAATAATAGTAAGAGCTCTTATGAAAGACCATACCTACTCTACTTTCAATCACATTGTGTAGAAATTTAAAACAATGTATACTGTACCAACTGTATGCATCCAATTCCTCCACTGTATAGACTATAGACTTTAAACAAAAAACCATTCTTCTAACATTTGATAGATAAAGATAGTGTTGATGTAAGACTTTAGTTTTATTATTAGAGAAGCTATCTTGTGAAATAACCAAGTGTTTGACTTTAGAAACAATTGCATAACTATGATGAAATAAATATTTGTATTGCAAAGACTTTTAAAGAAGCAGATGAAGAATTAGATCCCATAATATAATGTAGGAAATATGAACAATCTCTTCCAATCTAAAACCTACTTTGTTCAAACATTGACTAAAAATTAACCAAACAAATATTTTTTTAGTCAATTTGTTTAAATATAATTTTATTGTTATAGATTTGGCTAGAATCATTTATAACATAAATCACAACTTCAAAACTGACACTCAGAATATTCTATTAAATCAAATACTAGATTTAATGACTAAACATTTAAGAGAATATGAAAATGATGATATGATAATTTATATCTCCCATTTTGCATATTTAAATAATATCTTGTATGATATATTACTAAGAGATTTAATATACAATATATAATATACTCTCATTATTTAAATACCATCCAATTTTAAACACTACCTCATCTTTTAAATCATAATATACATAATACATAATTATTAATTATATATATAATTATCCATTATCCTAGCATATTAAAATACAAAGGAGTAAGGCTAAATGCAAGTACATTATCTACCCTGTAGCATTACTTCCTACATATGGTCTTCTATTTTGATTGAATAGAGTCAAATGCCTAATGATAAAATTATCAAATAGTATAAAAAACAATAATATATTCAAATGTTTGACGTATAATACATAGAATCTTCAACTAATCACACTATGAAAAAGCTTTTCATACAAATCTTTTAAATCCAATAGTGATATTGAGAAATCATTTTGATTGTAACATTAATTATTGCTATAAAAAATAAAAGTATTCTGCAACTAGGCAGTTAGAGAGTATATTGTATATGACACTTCTACCCAGGCTTTTATAGCTGCTATTTATTTTTCTCTAATTTATAGCATTCTGAATTCAAGATTTTTTATATTATTTATTGTATT